TGGCCTTGGTGTTACCAGCACCACACTCTCCCAAGTGTGCCATGAGCCGGCCCTAGGATAGAGCATCTTTTATCTAACAGTTTGTTAGCTCAACTTATAATGTAAGTATTTAGATGTATGGCCCATGGGCCTCTGTACTTGTGTTCCAGTGGGAGGAGCCACTGGCCCACTCACTCTACCTTATCCCCAACAGTCAGAGCACTTCAAGACAACATCACAGAAGGTGGCTCGGAAGTTCTGGTGGAAGAACGTGAAGATGATTGTCCTCATCTGTGTGATTGTTTTTATCATCATCCTCTTCATCATCCTCTTTGCCACTGGAGCCATCCCAACTTAAGGAGCCCCTCCCACCCCACCCTCCTCTTCTGGGGCAGCCCTCCATAAGGGGTAACAAGAGGAGCCCTCTCTCCTGTCCTTCAAAAGAATGCTGCTCGGTCCTCCTGCCCCTCACTCTGAGGCCCCTCTGCCACATTGTATGCCCCAGGGAGCCCCTGGGTACCCAGAAGGAGAGAGCTGGACTGGGGCTGCATTTCATGGGTCCTTACAGTGGGTTGGAAAGACCCAGAGGGCCCAGCAGGTGGCTGGGAAACTGTTGATAGCTGGTGGGCAATAAAGACCTTTCAGTATCCCTATGTGTGTGAGGCACTTCCTCCCATTCCATTTTGCCTTTGACCCTTCTATTTCTGTTCTTTTGGAGGACACCCTCTGGCTCAGGTTCTCCCATTTGAGGCCCAAGTTGTTAGAGGGGTGGAGAACGAATGTTTGGAGTAGAAAGACGGAGCCTCCCTGTTCCGTTCATTGTCATAGGTCTCAAGAATAAGAATTGTTTGGGGGTGTTGGCAAATGGAAAATTCAAAACCTTCACAGCATTTTAGGATGTTATGCAAGATTCTTAAGTGTCCCCCTTGCGTCCTGCCATGTCCCTTTATTGCTCTTCTATTGCTCTTCTGGAAATTTAGCTGAGACACGAAACGTACCTGGACAGAGCACTTAGGGTCTGGTTTAGGGCCTCCTACTTCTTCCGCCACTGCTGTCTCTCTTCTATTGCCCTGTTGAAGGCTAGAGCCCAAGGTTGGAAGAACTGGACTGCTTTTCCTTTTCTTGTGGTTCTGCATGTTTTTCTGTCCACCCCTGCCCTTCTGGAACTTAGCAAGACCTCTGGGTCTCAGCCGTCCTGAGGGGGCCAGTATCTCTTCCTCGCATCCCATGGCTGGGCACAGTCAGTGTTACAGGCCCGGGGCCTATGGCCCTCTTTCCTCTCCATGCACAAAGAGCCTTTCTGTTTTCAGGCCTCCCTCTTCCCTACCAGGTTCCACTGTCATTGTCACTTTTTCCAGTGCCCAGAATGCCTTGATTTGTGGGAAGGATTCTTGCCTTCTCTGTC